AGGACTTATTATACTGGCATTACAGAAAATATTACAAAGTTTTACAGAAAAACATTTTTTATTTTACTTAATATACCTGTACAGGTATATTAAGTAAAATAAAAAAATACGATATTATAGATGAAAAGAAGATACAATATTATAGACAAAAAATTTTATATTTTAGCATGCATAATAATGTTTGAAGCAAATTTGCTCGTGGTGATGCCGTATATATTTTTTTAAAATTCCAACTTCTTGCATCTGCATTGTTTTAAAAGCTTTAAAATGTGAGGAACAATAGTAATAATAATGCTAGTGATACAGTAAAATAATTATATTACATTAAAAAAAACTAAAATTGAGATGTTTTGAACCTATATCAGGTCACTTCACTGGCTAGAGTCTTGTTCACTCTGCTATTGCTGTTCCATGAAGATGAAACTTTCAAAGCCATATTAGCTAAACACTCAATTTTCAGAGGCCCCCTTTTGTTTGAAAATGACTGAGTTGGATCCTATTATTTGGATGAGGAACTGTGTGTTAATGGCTACAGGCTCACCATGTTTCATTCAAATCAGAAACCTAAACATATGACCTCCCCTGGTGAGACAAAGCTGTCAATGGAATCAGGTTTGAAAATCATCCCTTGTATCATTCACTCTCCTCTCTTTTCTGACAGTCATCACTGATTCATAATTTTCACTCCACAGATACAAACAGGAAAACCAGAAATGTATCCTTTGCTTTTCATCCTTTCAAAGCTTCCTCTTCCCCTTACCCTATTAGACCAATAAAAGCCATCCATATCAAAGGGGTAAGACTAAATCCCAGAATGAAATGACAAGGAAAGGAAGTGAATTTTAAAAAAAGGAAAATGAATGAGCTTGGCCTAAATATATAATATAGTTTGTTATATTTATATTAAATCAATCAACATTTTATATATATCAGCATGCAAGAACAGTCTATACATAGATCTTTGTAGATAAATTGCTGCCTTAAAATTTAAAAATTTGACACAAATATTCTATTTTTGAACTTTTTTATCTTATACAATATATAGAGGATGTTCTATCATAAAATCTTAATCATAAAAATTGAAATTGTACAACAATTTGACTTAGCAGGAACGAAAATATATCAAATTTGCAAAATATAAGAGTAAATCTTATATTTTAAATTTAAATTAAGAGTAAACCTCAGTTTAAAAAACAACAAATTGATAAGTAGTGAGAATGGGCCAAGGAAAGGCATACTAGGGATTCAGTATAAAATTTTTTTTCATCTGAAAATATAATTTTAATTTGAATGGGTCAGTTGGTCTAAGTACTATTACAGTCTAAGAAAAGAAAGTATTTACTGAAACATGGTGGCAGCATAATGATTTGACTATCAGCTGGCTAAACACTATTGAAAATATCTGGGGTATCATGGTTGCTTTCCATCTGTACAAACAGATGAAAAGCAATATTTTTCATTAGAAGAACTTTTTCATGCTTTAGTAATTGCAGATTAAAGTTTTAAATTAAGTTATTATACAACAGTTGATATTTTCAATAAAAATAGATCATCAATTAATTGAAGACAGGAAGGAAAGAAAATCTAGTTATTGGTTTTCTTTATCCCAGTTTAAAAAGAAATTTATTGTTTCTCTCACACTTCCTTGAAAATAAACCCTTTATAAATATTAAATATATAATTTAGGATATTTTTAACTTTTTTTTTAATTTTAGTAACTTGAAAACACACTTAGGCCATTTATACAAATAAGACATGAAAATTCTTTGTTTTTTGAAAAGTTAACCCAAAATACTCATTCCTTTCCTTATTCCTTATATAAATTAAAGCAATATTTAGTGATAGATTTTGAAGAAATATTCATTTCAGATTACAAGTTTTCAAATTAAAAATGAAGACATTTAAAATTTAATGTCCAATTATATGAATCACCACTTGCTCTTCTTTCTATCCCACTGATGTCTCACTGCAATTTTCTTATGTCATACAGCTATTTGCTACAATAGATTCAAATCATCAGTAGGATGCTACTCACACATTGGTGAATATGTATATGCTACCCTGTATTGTCATTTTTTCATGTATCCAAATTTTTTATTATCTGAATCACCTGCAGAACAAATTAACTCAGATAATAAAAGTTCTATTGTAATAGGATGTATCATTTTTACTCTACTCCATGAAAGATTACAAACAAAAGTCAACGTGCTATCAAGAATGGATATGCATCTGCATGAAGTACCAAATTGTGTGAATTATCATTACAACTTTTCCAGAGCATTTGTCACATTATTTTGTCCATTGTCTACCATTCCTATTTTTATTTCATTTTTTTTTTTTTTGTGGCAGAAGAAAAGGGTCATGACAATTTCAAGCTATATAATTTATATATATATAAATTATATCAGTGGTTTTAAACTTATTTTTATTGCAGAACCCTTTTGACCTTAGTAAAAAAAATGTTGGAATCTTACAATTTTTAATGATTATAGATAAAACGGCAAATAGAAACACACAAAAACAATTTTTTTTTCATATAAAAAATAATAATAATGGAAAGCAAATAATATTACTAATTCCAAAACTAGTTATTGATGTGATGAGAAATTTCTTTTCTTTCAATATTTTAAATATTGGATTTGTACTGCCATTTGTATCTGCATTTTCAGTCCATTGTAACCAGAAAAAATGAAGTACTTGAGTTTTGAAGAAAAATGTATCTTCTCTCAATGAACACTCCACGATTTTTCAATTTTGGGTATACACAATACGAAAAGCACTAAGGATTTATATAATTCCCACTATATTTTTATATGAAAAACACTTAAAATATCACAAAACGATTGCAATGTAAAATGCTAATAATCTGACTTATATACCTGTTTATATACTGAACTGTTGCACTACAACTCACTACAGATGAGACATTGATTAACCCAGTGGCAACAAGTAATGCTTGTCTGTCATGTGTATATTGTCACTAGTATTGTATGTACTGTACAGTACAATTGAGTATCTGTGCTCCCTCCTGTCATTTGATTCAATAGGCTTGTGCTGAAGATATTGATGAATTAAAGTATATTTAACAGTGTATTATTTATATGTTGAATACTTTTTAAAGTTATTTTTTTAATGATTTTCTAGCTTTAGGTTAAGTTTTACCATTTTGATGGTTTTCGTTATCTTGTCAAACATTACATCAAGATTTTGGTTAGTTCCATTACTGATAAATTGGTCCCCACTGTTTATAAAGCTATAAATAGCTCAAGCATGTGTATAGGACTCAGTGGTGTAGCGTGGGTATCAGCCGCCCAGGGCGGAGGAAATTTCACCACCGCCTTATTTAGGTATCTGAATTTAAAAGACTAAAATTCAGTTTTGTCACAGAATAAGTCAAAAAATTCCGTGCTCATTTCAATCGGTCCGAGTCGTAGGTGCGACAAAAATATGAAATGGTTCAAATTTTTACAAGATATTATTATTATTTATTATGAAATTTTGCCGCCCCCTAAAAGTGCCACCCGGGGCGGGCCGCCCCCGCCACCCCCACTACGCTACGCCACTGATAGGACTTCACATGAGAACTAACTGAAACTAGAGCAATTACATTTCAAATCCCAAATTTGCATTGGCACATTCATACATAACTAGACTCAATGGATTTTATTGTGAAACCCAAATTTTATTGGTAGAACCTTAGAGTTCCATGGAACACAAGTTCGGAACCCTTAGATTATATTTTTATTTTAATTAGGCAAAAGGCCTAATTAAATACCTAGCCTAGAAATACCAAATTTAAATAGACTAAGTTGTTTTGAGAATTCTGTTTGAATGTTTAATGTTACACTTAATCTGTTTCTTTTATTTGGTGTTAAAGTATATACTTAACTTAAAAGTTTGTTTATGCCTCAAGAAGAATGTGTTTCTTGGACTGACCGAAATATTGAAGATACAATCTTTGACTTTTTACATAGTGCAAGCAGTGATGCATATGTTTTGTAAAATTGCAATTGACAGTGCAAACATGTTACTGACTTTGATAGTTCCTCCTCATTATTTTAAAACTAACTAACTATAAAGGGTAGATTATTATAGGTCAAATAAAGCAACTTGTCATGAACATATCTTCAGATATTAGAAAAGCAAATCTGTCCATAAACAAATACTATGTTGAAGAAACAAAGGCTGACCTTTTGCCACCTTTGTAGCAAAGAATCAATGGCACATAGCAAATGGAAGTCTTTAGATAAGAAAAAGCCTTGGAAATCCACAGCAAAGAAACACAATACCAAGAATGATATACTGGAGTTAAACTGAAACTAAAGTAAAGTATTGTACAAAAGTATTTTTACAGAAAAAGTCAATATGTCAAGCAGAATACTAAATGGGATAAACAATAATTCTGATTTTCTGATCACTTCCAAAAACAACAAGTTTATAAACAATGCCTATTTCTTTCAAATCACTAAGAAATATTTTGCATTGACTGATAGAGAAAATTATATTTTATCTGAGATATTTGTGCCTTCACTCAGTTCTGCCAGGCTAATATGCTAAAAAAGCTTGACATGAACCAATTGATTGAGGTGGAGGGATACAGGTGTAATGTGCTTTGCTCCAGACCTTTAAAAATTATACTCTGCAGGTTAAAGAACAATCTTAGCAATCTTAAAAATCGGGGCATTTTTCTCCATATGGATGATATGTCTCTACAGTCTTTTTACATTATTTTAGAAATCTAAGTCTGAATTACATTGCTAATGAAATGATAATGCTAAACTGATTATTGAAAAATAATTTTTAGATTTTCAAGAACATTTCTACTGTTTTAAGCAATTAAGTTTCAATCTATAATACATTATTTAATCATGTAACCCTGTCAGGAAAATGAGGCAGTAATCTATTTACCACAGTTTTAAATTGTGAAGACATTTGCTGAAAATAGTTGTCTTTTCAACATGTTTATAAAAATTTATAATTTAATATGTTTGTCTAGTTACCTTCCTTAGTTGGCAAAGGATTTTTCTCTTGAGTTTCTGCATGCTTCAGTTTTCCAGTATCAAATGATTCAATTCCTTGTAGTAGTTTTTGCTGTCCTTTTTCTTTTTCAATTTCTATTAAAAATACATTTTACAGTTAAAATTTCTCCTCTAATAAAGAGTAATATAATTACTGAAAGCACATTTAGTAACAAGACTTAAAACAACAATTACAAATGTTAATTGCACAGAAGAAAAACATCACTTTTTAGAAGAAAACCTAAAAAAATAATTTAATAATTTTCAGTTATTTTGACGAGGATTAGATAAACGAACAATTTCACAGGATTGTTAGCAGTTGACAATTTAGAACACTGAAGGAACACTTTCAACAATTACATTATTAGGTTACCTTCAGTATTTGGTAATATAATTTTTTCTGCAGTATTTGCACGATGTAATTTTGTTTTGTCAAAATGTTCTACATCATCCACAAAGCTTTGGTGTATTTTCTCTTGCTGGACATCTAGGTTGAGTAGTTTGGTATTAGAAGTATGATATCAAAAATGTTAATTTTTAACAAAATAAATTTTATTATGTATTGCCAAAATAATTTTTAAAAAATCAATATGCTTTACTTAATTTTTTTACATAATACTTTATATTTCAGGAATTCAATCTACAAAAGATGCAAACTAATAAGTGAATAATTCTTGTTTGGAAGCATTATAAAATTCTAAGTTTAAAAATCTAATATTTTATAAAACTATGTTAAAAATTAAATATTTATAAAATTAAAAATCAACTACTTTCAGCCATCACCAGCTTCCACTTTCTATTAAAGCATATAGTTAGCATCTTCTAAAGCAAGCATTAGTTTATATTAGAACATTAACAGGTAATTGCCCAGGGTTTTCGCTGTCACCAGCAGTGTCAACAAAACAAATGCTCTCACCACTCTGATTGGGCAAGACACATTTCTCCTTTGTGTCCGTTCGCTTTAATGAATTTCGTTTGAAGTTCCGAACACCATTCAAGACATTCTGTTGAGCTTTCTCCTGAGCCACATCTTATAGTGAAAGTTTTAATTAAAAATAATTTACATTTTATTTAAACTAAATGCACTGTTTCTTTTAATCTTTTGCCTTACTGAAAACTTGAGTTTCCATTTTAGAGTTTTAAAATAAGTTTAGAAACTTAAAAATATCCATTAGAATCGATTTTACCAATTTCAAACAATAGAAAAATTTGATTCTTGAAAAACAAACTAAATAATGATAATTTTAGATTTTTTTAAAAGTATTTAAAATTCAAAGGCAAAAGATTTTAAAATTAAGTAATTTAACTTAAATCATTTAAAATATTATCTATTTAATTAATAAATAAATATCAATCATTAATTCAAAATTACTCAATATTAATGTTTAGATACCTTCAGGTTTTGGCAGAGATACTTTCTCTTGTGTTTGAGTTGGATGCAGTTTTGAACGTTCAAAAGATTCTACATCTTCAATCAAACTGTTATGTACTTTTTCTTGTTGGACATCTAAGACATGCATCATGCAACACATTAAATTAGCATGCATAAAATAAATTTTAAAATAATAAAAAAATTTTAAAATTAGTTCTAAGAAGTATCATGCAAAAATAACAGGATATTTTTAAAAGAAAATTTTAAAAACTAATATCAGTGGTATAATAAATAACTTGCAAGTTTTGAAAATTTAAGTAATTTAGAAACAAACTTATTTACACAAGTATTTTACACAATTTATTTAAAAACATTTAGAAAAATTGTTTGTGTTTCTGTGCAACAAACTGAAAACTCAATAATGATTTGTCAATGAGACTTAACATGGTAAACTCAAATTTGATATTTTTGAAATGTACTATAGAATTGTTTTAATAAAAAAAAGTTTCTTTAAAATACTGTACTTTAAAGTACAGGAGACCCCCCATAACACTAAATAATTCCATGTTATATGAATTCCACGTTGTATGAGTCACTTAGATTTTACAAATACGTGTGCTGGGCTATGAATGGCTCACGTATTTGTAAAAGCTAAGTCACTCGTACAACATGGAATTCATATAACACAGAATTAGCCACAGTGTTTATAGGGGGTCTACTGTACTGTTTTAATTACAGCTTGTAATCAGTTTTCAAACAAAATCTGGACATTACAAATCTTATTCAAAATGCATTTGGTGATATATTTTTAACTCCAAATAATAATTGGTACAATTATTCTGAAGTTTATTTTTTTCACACAGAATTTTCTATTTTCACCATTGCAGACTTGAATATTGTTTAAAAATTCTTGCATTTACATAATATCTTTGGTCATCTGTTTGGCCTCTTCACACTATAATAGATAATGTTTACATACAATATATAAAACATAGATTTGTTAAATTTCAGATATGTTCGCTAGTACTTTCAACAGTTTACGACTGTCGTCTTCAGGCGAAATCGAATACCTTTGTTTTCGAATTGATAGCTTTTAACGGACTTTTTTAAAAGAGATGCACTTGGGGATGAGTCCGTTCTTTCGACACTTTAGTAAAAACCAAAGTTGGGCTTTTTGCCTCAACCACGATGTTCTGGTATCCAATATATCTGAATCGAACATATCTGAAATTTCGAACATATCTGAAATTTAACAAATCGCTGTCAATAACGCCGCAACACGTAAGTGTCATAATTTTAATTTCTAAAGGCTGGCGTGAAGTGAACTATATTTTCATTCATGAATACTACTAAAAAACACTTCTTTGCTTTATTGGATACCAGAACATCGTGGTTGAGGCAAAAAGCCCAACTTTGGTTTTTACTAAAGTGTCGAAAGAACGGACTCATCCCCAAGTGCATCTCTTTTAAAAAAGTCCGTTAAAAGCTATCAATTCGAAAACAAAGGTATTCGATTTCGCCTGAAGACGACAGTCGTAAACTGTTGAAAGTACTAGCGAACATATCTGAAATTTAACAAATCGCTGTCAATAACGCCGCAACACGTAAGTGTCATAATAAAACATAGATGTTTTCTTTTTATAAAATTTACTGTAATCACTGAATTTCTGTGAAATTATTTTATAGAAGTTCTTCAAAGTTCAAACAAGGATATTACAGATCATACTAAATGCTAATATGTATTCAGTTTTTAACAGAAGCTATTTAAGCTTTAAGATATAATTTTGCACATATGCGCACACAAAGTTTACACACTCATGTAATCTAATTACAAATTCATTTATTTTCATTTTTATAATAAAATTATTTTGTTTTCATATTAATAACCAATATACAAGTTTTTATTTCATTATTAAAAATTAATGAAGAAAAAATTTATATAAAAATTGCAATATTCTATGAAAATATTTGAATTATTATTTCTCAATAGCTAAAAAATTTAGTACACATTGTAGTAATATCAACAGGAAATTCCAGTAAAGTATGCAATATGTATTTTTCACACAAAAAAAATTTTTTTTTTGTAGATTTAAATTTAAAAGCCTGAAATATGTGTTTTAATATTTGTTCAGTACATTTTCAAATGACAAATGAATGCAATACATATTAAAAAAATTGCAACTAGACATTACGTTAATATATAATTTAATGGATTTTGAGATGAATTATTTACTATTTAAATTTGAATCCAAGTAATTTATTGAATTTATAATGATGTAATTATTGAATTTGAGAAACCAACTTAATTACATTGGATTGATTGAATTTATTTGTCTAGATTATCAATTTCAAATTTTATCTATTTTATTCCAAATAATCAAACTATATCAGCAAACTAATACTGATAGTGATGATTATATTAATGATACTGATCGGTAAGATTTTGTAATTTTTTGCAGATAAGAAAAGTTTTTCAATTATAAAGCATGTTCTGTTACATTTTTAACATTTATAATCAAATTTGAAATGTTCTGCAATTTATCTATGATTAGATAATGAAGGCAGATTTACTATTACAAGATGAATGAAATGTTATATACTTTTAATTAATGACAATGAATGAATTAATGTAAGCTCTTTAATAAAAATAAAAACTTTCAATAGCAAAAGTAAAAATAGTCTACTAGAATTTAAACAAGTCTGCATGACAATGGACAAATTTTAAAATATTTTAGAAAAAAAAAACGAATGATGAAAAAGCACTAACAAAATAAATGGTAAATGGTTTATATGTATGAAGGTTTATATTTCAGAATTAGCTAAATGTACAAGTTCTACAAAAGAAAACAAAATGCATTTCTTAACAGGATTAATTATAATTAATATGGAGTTTAGACAAGTAAAGTAACATTCCTAAACCATTAAGACAATAAATTTACAAGGGGTTGTGGGGGAGACAAGGAGAATAAAAGAGAGGGACGAGTAATTGGAGAAGTGAGGGAAGATGACAGTTGGTGACAGCGCGACAGGGACAAAAGACAAAGACATTACGAAGGCAAAAGCATTATTGTTCTATCAAAATGGTTAAGATATCTGGAAGATTATTGTTATTTCTAGTTCTATATTTCTATCACTATTCCTACATTAAATATTAAATCCTTTCTGAATTAAATTCAATTTTTTGTAATTAGAATCAATATATAAAAAAATTCCATTCAATGTTTTTCAGAAGAAAATAAAAATCACAAGTTTTAGGAAGCAGCAGCAAATTTCAAACTCATCACTATTTTACAACCAGTTTTATCACTTTAGATAAATAAGATACCTTTTTTTTAACACAAGATATTTTGGAAACTTATTATTCTATCAAATTTATTATACCTTAGTCATTAATCCCTTTTTAATTAATTATAGAAATAGTTAATAAATATACTAAATTTATTCTTATTGGCTCACAATAGTCATTTACATCCAAGTCTAAAAACTAGAATGATAAAGTCATGTTTAAAAATGCATTTTTCCCACATGAAATCTGTTTGTTTTAGTAGTTTGATTGCTTTTCTAAGATTGGAGTATGTGTGAAAATTAAATTAATGATAAATAATTACAACAAAAATTTTAAAAACTCACCTTCTTTTGAAGGCAATGGATTTTTTTCTTCTGTTTTAATTTGTTTCATCTTAGAAGAATCAAATTGTGCCAATTCTTCCCTCATGGCAGCTGGAACCTTGGGGAGTTCTTCCTTGCTTGGACTAGACATTCCACCTTTAAACCAGTGTAAAATTTCCTATTTAATTAAAAACAGTTTATTATTGTAAATGAATTTTAAAATCCAAAATTAATCTATCAATTCTGAATCAAAAATCAATATTTAAACAAATCATCATCATTACCATATTTCATCAACTCATTTCTTCAAAATGTATTAAATAAACAAATGATTACACATTTAGAACTAACCAACCATGAAAAGTTTTATTATTTATTACATCTAGTGTTAAACTTGTTATTACAGATAAAATAAAAATTGATAAAGATAAACCAGTTTATTTTATCTTATCAATTTTTAAACCAAATTCTGTAGTTCAAGCATATAATATATTATACACATATCTTTGTAATATGAAATCTTATAAGAACATTCAAGACTTTCTTCTCAGCAAGTTTTATTGAACTGTAGTAGAAAAATTATGAAAGTCATTTCAAATTCCAAATACATTTCAGTGAAAATTTATTTTTATGGCTTTTAATTTTAAAACAATCTTAAATTTACAATCTCAAATTTTAAAACAAACTTTCTGTTTAGATTTTGACACCTAGACTTTACATAAAATTAAGATCAATTTTATAACATCACAATTAGAAATCAGTTCTATTATTAGGTGTTTCAATATTTTGATCAGTAATTTGATACTGGTGTATAAATTATCAATTCATAAGTTAATACTATTGAAACTAAGATTTACTAATGAAATAAACAATTTAAAAGCATTTTCAAAGAACATATTATGCCAAATATCAAAACAGACTTTATAGGAACTCCTCTACATTTACAAACTTTTGTTCTAGGAATACACATTTCGAACACTATATATAGTTATTTACTTCTAATTCCATGGTTAATACTATACAAAAAATCTACTGAAAAAATTTAATATTTAAATATTTTCCTAAATTTTTAAATATATATATTAATTGTATTGTATGTGACAAAGTGTAAATATATTATTTTTAGTGTAGTAATATACTTTTTAAATTTAAGATAATAAATAAATACCATCTTATAATTGTTGTGTTTCTATATTTTGTAATTATATGTTTTCTAAGAGAAGCATAGTACAATATGAAGCAAAGTAAATCTGATTCTGATTAATAATCAGCTTTCAGCTTTATACAATAACATTTTTAAAAATAATGTGCAAGATAATATTTCCTAATATTTGCTGATGTCAAATATACTTAAATCAAATTGAAGTTTTTCAAAATTTTGGCAATAGGAGGAAACACATTAAAAATTAAATTTCTAAATTTCAATGGGATCACATTGAAATTCTGTATTGCATTTTCATAGTATAAGAATTCCTAACAAATACCTGAGTGCAGGATTATTTGCTTAAAATTATTTTAAAATATGTTTAACTAGAAAAAAAATGTATTAGTCATTAGAAAAATTACAATTACTTGTTAAAAAAAGGGCAACATGTTCAAAATAACTGACATTTTAAAGTAAAATATTTCAATAAATTTTTTAAAAATAAATTTAACATTAAAAACCAGATTTCTCCTATGCTCTGTTCATAATATTTTAATGTAAACTTAGGATTATATGTTTACAGTTGAAGCATTGCTGAACTACAAGTAGTTTAACAAAAATTCTATATAATATTTTCATATTTGTTATTAAATTAAAGAATGTGAATAATATTCTAATTATGAGCAATTTAAATCCATAGCTTGTTTGTTTATCTGTTTAAACTCAAAATTTTGTCCTGTAATAATTATATTCCTCATTTAAAAAAGTTTCCAAAAAATTCAATTTGTTCTGTACAAGTTTAAGATTTGATTAATTAATGAATTATTATATTATTATTAATTTGAATTTTCATACTTTCCATGCTGTAGTACATCATAAAAAATTTATTTACAAATTTTTTCAATTAAGCCTTGGTTGATGACAATCAAGTTAAATTTATTTCCTGTGTGAATATTGCTGTAATGTCCATTATAACACTCAGTCATCATTTTGAAACAATACCGATGATGTTCTAAGTTTTACTGAAAATATCAAAAATATTCATGAGCCATACCATAGACATTTGAGAGCTACTTTTAGCTTGAGAAAAGCATTTAGAACATTTTGGATAAAGAAATTAATACTTTACGTAAATTGAGGTTTAATTACAAAAATTTCTTCTGAAAAAACTATTAAAAAATGTAAAAAATGACTGAAGAATTTCTCGGGGTTTAGAGTATCATGGTTGCAATTTTAAAATCAATGATAACAGTTTCACTGAGAGCTAGAACAGTGCCAACTATTATTTCAAAATTATACAAATTCTTAAATGAAAATACTAAGTTAGAATTAACTACAAAGTCAATATTTCACTCACATTACCAAAATTATCAAAATGTGACCATTTCTGTAGCATATAAAGCTCATGAAAGAAAACTACAATGAATCTTTTTGCATAATGTGCACATTCCTAAGAACTTTGCATTAAAAAAATTTCCATTCAAATATATGAAAATTAGGAGGATATGTTCCATGATATCCAAAAATATAGTAAAATAATGTTGATTCATCTTATTTTTAAGAAATGCCTTTTAGACATTATTAACATTTAAGATTTCTTGAAAATTATCCAAAATTGTCTCTCTTCTCATAATTCTTGGTAAAGAGCAGTATATTCTACCTTCCAAAGAATGAAGTGCCTTTCAATGTATTGGTAAGTTGGTAGCTTGACTGAAGTTAATTGATGATGACAATGAAACAAAAATTTTCATCAATAAACTACAATATTTTATTATTCATTTCAGTGCCAGAGTTAATCAAATTTTGTTTTTATCAACTTCACACAAATCAATGTTAATGTCATCTGACACTATCCTTAACACAATTACTGTTACCACAACTACTAAGCTATCATCACCATTAAGCTTTCATATTTACTGCAAAACAAAGGTAACAGGCCAATCCAGATTCATTTCATGCATTGTTGCAATATATTTCATTCCATACTATCTCGATACCATCATGAATGATTTATTTATACAAAAATATAAAGTTTTGCAGAAACAATGCTGAAATAATAGGTCAAACAATTTAAAATTGCATAAAACTAGCATAAAAAATACTTTTCCATTACTCAAAATCCAACTGATTGACTGAGAAATTCTCAATATTGCTGCCTGACAAAGCTAACTGTAAAGGGTTTTTTTAAAAGTCAATTTACAGACTGTCTTATCCAATTTGCAATTATAGTTAACAAAACAATTTATTGTTTTTGATGTGCTTACACAAATGTATTCCAACATTTTAAAATATTTTAAATGATTTTTTTATAATACTGTCTTCCCAGAATATTGAATCTAACCTTACTGTTAAATGTTCCTCATACTCAAGTTAGTTTAGATGAAAAGATATTGTTGCATTGCTGTTAAAAAAAGTGTAAACCCCTTAAACATTTGTTGATCAAATAATATCTTCATTATAAAAATATTAAATCTTGAAAAGAAATATAAATTTGATTTAAAATTATTTTTATTACTAAATTGTTTTTTTTTAAACATTTTTAGAAGTTTTTTGTTGCCATTACAAATTTTGTGTAGATAAGAAATTTTTAACATAGATGACTTAATTTTAAATTAACTAAATTTAATGGCTATGTAAATTTGATAAAAATTCACAGAAGTTTATGAGTATGCAGTTTGACTTATATTTTCCATTAAATAATTCATTCATAAATATCAAAAGAATGCACATACTGCAAAATAAAATTACCGTACTATACTGCTGATTTGTTATTAATACAGTAGTTATTTGCAAATTTTTACTAGTGAACAAGTGCTATAAAATTACTCCTTTTCAGATTTTTCTAATGATTATATATATCTTTATACAATTAAACATTATTAACAATACTTTATTAAAAAGAAATATTGATATAGGCAATTTTGGTAAGATATATTATATTTTATATTTGAAAACAATGTATCAAAGGTATTTTGAAAGTAGATTTCAAATGAAATTTATATGAATTAGCTGATCCAAGATTTAAATATGCTAAATCAATAAGCATTGTTAAATAATGCTGATACTACAAATTTATTGGCCAGTTTATAAATAGAGATNGTAGTACATCATAAAAAATTTATTTACAAATTTTTTCAATTAAGCCTTGGTTGATGACAATCAAGTTAAATTTATTTCCTGTGTGAATATTGCTGTAATGTCCATTATAACACTCAGTCATCATTTTGAAACAATACCGATGATGTTCTAAGTTTTACTGAAAATATCAAAAATATTCATGAGCCATACCATAGACATTTGAGAGCTACTTTTAGCTTGAGAAAAGCATTTAGAACATTTTGGATAAAGAAATTAATACTTTACGTAAATTGAGGTTTAATTACAAAAATTTCTTCTGAAAAAACTATTAAAAAATGTAAAAAATGACTGAAGAATTTCTCGGGGTTTAGAGTATCATGGTTGCAATTTTAAAATCAATGATAACAGTTTCACTGAGAGCTAGAACAGTGCCAACTATTATTTCAAAATTATACAAATTCTTAAATGAAAATACTAAGTTAGAATTAACTACAAAGTCAATATTTCACTCACATTACCAAAATTATCAAAATGTGACCATTTCTGTAGCATATAAAGCTCATGAAAGAAAACTACAATGAATCTTTTTGCATAATGTGCACATTCTAAGAACTTTGCATTAAAAAAATTTCCATTCAAATATATGAAAATTAGGAGGATATGTTCCATGATATCCAAAAATATAGTAAAATAATGTTGATTCATCTTATTTTTAAGAAATGCCTTTTAGACATTATTAACATTTAAGATTTCTTGAAAATTATCCAAAATTGTCTCTCTTCTCATAATTCTTGGTAAAGAGCAGTATATTCTACCTTCCAAAGAATGAAGTGCCTTTCAATGTATTGGTAAGTTGGTAGCTTGACTGAAGTTAATTGATGATGACAATGAAACATAAATTTTCATCAATAAACTACAATATTTTATTATTCATTTCAGTGCCAGAGTTAATCAAA